AACCAACCCCACCATCGCCTCCGTTGATTTGTTTAAAGGGAGCTCTTTGCTTACATCCCCTCCTTAGCACCAACCCGACTACTCTGTGGTGGCTTTTTCTACAGTATTTGATTCAGAGACCTGTTGACTCACTCCAACTCCAAGGCCCCTTCAAAACTGCCGCCGAACTGGTGGTAAGTATGCCTGAAAACGAGCAAATAATCTCGCTTCCTTCATGAAGTTTCGCTTAAATTGTCGAGATGTCCAAGACAACCCACTCTCCCTAAACCCCAACCCCTTCAGCTTCCACATATACAACTCCACACCTTTCGCACATTCCCAAGAGATGGTTGACCCTTGACAACTTCGAGTATGACCACTCGCCGATGTACTTCTCCGAAGGAAGGGCGATAACTTTGCGGCTACACCATCTCCACCTTTTAGAAATATGTCAACTGGGATTAGGTCCTAAGGGCCTTGCAGCTTTCACGTAGCGCCTCTAGCCACTACGCCATCTACAATTTTCACCTATTTATGAATGACCCAAGGTTTTCAGAACGATTACGATTGGTTTATCAAAGCTGATGATGATACCTATTTTCATATGGCGAACTTGAGGCATTTTCTCAAAGTCAGTTCTTTTTTTTTCTTCATATCACAGCCAGTAAAGTTTACTCATTTTCACTGAATTCTCATTCAGAACTATTCCCCGAACGAGCCAATAGCGTTTGGCCATCAATACTCAAAAAGTAAAATAAACTACCATAGCGGTGGAGCCGGATACGTACTCAGTAAAATGGCTGTGGCGAGGCAAGTTAAACAGGTTACAGAAACCATGTGTAAGTTTCTACCTGATAAAGTAATGAATTCTACAGAATAGGAAGATTCGGATTCAACTACAACCCTGCTTGCGATGAAAAGGTCTCAGCTGAAGATATCTACGTGGGAAAATGCCTCATGGCATTGAATGCGTCTATAATCGATGGCTCTGATGAAAACGGCTCTTACAGGTCAGGATTTGCAATTTAGTTTACGGTATTTTAAGCTCACCGGTAAATGCCTTTTATTCATGGCATTCAAAGGCATGGCATTTGAAGGGTAGTTGACAGGAATCTCGAGGCGCAGCGACAAGGCAGAGCCGCAGAAGGGCCGGCAGACGAGTCGCGGCGCGTGTGAGTGATGTGGAACCCACTACAGTAGATCCTGGTCGTTTTGACGCGAATTACTGCAGTACACGCAGCGACTCGTCCGCGTCTCTGCCTCAAAATCCTGGGTGGAATACTTTTCTGACTGTGGCTTTTGCTTATTCCATATCAAATCGGTACAAATTTTGACATTTTTCGAGGGAAAGGAGCTACAGAAGCGGGTGCAGAGAGGCTCCTCTTCGATCTGAAGATGGACTTCAGGCGCTTGCTCGGGGGTACTTAGGAAGACATTATCAAACTTGACGCGCTGACAATGGGCTTGACATGAGACTATGTATAAATGTAGTCGGAATCGGCAATAGGAAGGGGTCAGCAAATAGCACCGCAATGACGTCAAAAAAGCATGGAGCGAGTGCACAAAATATTCTCGGCAGCCAATCCATACCAGTCAGAAACTATGTTTGGTCGCATTTCGTAAGCACAGCTCAGCGCAATGTGGCTCGGGGGGACCAGCCGCCGCGCGCGGCGTTGCGGCAACAGGAAATTCGTGAGCCAGGGGGAATGTAGCCAATTCAGGGGGTTGGGGGTGAGGGCAGTCACTTACATGCGTGAGAAGCTGGAATGTTCGAGTTACACTACATCGCTGAGCCGCGCGCGGCGACTGCCCCCCCCCCCCCCCGAGCCACATTGCACCCACAGCTCTTGTTGGAATAGTTGAGGAACCCCGCCAGTGAAAAAAGATGTCCAGAAGCAAGTTGATAGTGCGACTTGGATCTCAAGGAGAAACGAGGAGTAGTAGTAGTTCGTGCTTCCTCGTTAACTTACACTGTCTTGCCTCGCTTCTTGGGCTTGAGCCATGTGGCCTTTTCAGGCCGATGTCAGACGTTGCGAATCGAGCGATTCGCTTGCGTCCGCGGTGCGTCGCGTACAGCGAATGGGTCGATTCGCAAAGTCTGACATCGGCCTTAGTGTTTTGTCGGGTATGGTAACCACACAAGTGAGGCTAGGTCTTCCTAATTACACGATTGTCGTTTCTCCGAGATTTTTAGTGAAGTATGGATTTCCATCCATGATTTTCTACATTCATTCAAACTATCACCAGTGCGAGCTGTTCAGGTTTCTTCCAATCGGTATTTGGGATCTGATAGAAAATTTTTTGCCAGACTGGTTGAATGAGACATCTAAAACAAGTGTTAAGGTAAGGTTTTTAGGTAATAATTTGTATTTATCAAGCCCTAGGCGAAGAAAAAATTCTTGGACGTCCTTGTGAGCAAAATTTTCAGTAGGAAAACCTTTGAAGCGGGGCTGAGCTTTCTACTCATTCTCAACTGTCCAGTAGGCGATATTCATTGTTTATCAACCCAACCCAAAGTGTGAAGAAAGTGGGGGAGCCATATCCTCCTCTACAAGGGAGGTCTTTCAGGGCAAGTGCGCTTTTTCAAAACGGTTTTGTGCATATTGTAGGGACGCATGTAGGGAACGCAAAACCATGTTTCATTTTCGCTGAACGGTTTAGCAGTACCAAAAAAGAAGCATAAGGTACTGTTAAGGGTTCGATCCCCCGTGGCGACTAAATTTTGCATTTGGGTTGGCGCCTACGGTTTGGTGCCAAATCGCGCTAAATATCAAAATCAGATGTCAAATTCATCGTCAGGACCATTTTGAAGCCAACAAGTGGCCGCCAACCTTGATTGCAAAATTTAGTCGCCGCGGGGGATTGAACCATCAAGAGTATTATTCACCACTTTTTTGGTACTACTAAAACCGTTCAGCGAAAACGAAACATGGTTTTGTGGTCCATACATGCGTCCCTACAACATGTACTAAACCGTTTCCAAAAAGCGGCACCTTGCCCTGAAACCTCCCTTGTAAGGCTGACCGCTGCGCAATTG